TCTTCTTCTTCGTCTTTGGTTCTTCCTCCTTCTCCTGGGGGGGGGGGGGGCCGGCGGGTGGGGTTGGGTTTTCAAATTGTTTTTTTTTTTTTTCCTCCTCCTCTTCTTTCTCCTTCTCCTTCTTCGGTTCTTCCTCCTTCTCTTGGGGGGCGGGTGGGGTTGGGATTTCAAATTATTATTATTTTTTTTTTTTTGTGTGTTAAAGATTAAGCAGAAGAAGATGAAGTTGAGGAAGAGAGAGAGGGGGAGGGAAGGGACAACTAAGGTTTTTTTTTATTTTTAATTTTACTTTTATTTATTATTTTAATATTTAAAAAATATTAAATATTTTTTTTAGTTTTTAATAATATTTTATTAATTTTTAATAGAAAGTAGTCCCAGTCTCTTGCCACGTCAGCACTTAACAGAAAAACTAACAGAAAAATTGACGAAGGTATGATATTGTCACAAATTCGTAAGATGCAGTATGACATTGTCAATTTTAAAAAATGAGGTATGAAAATCGTGATCCCAATAGTTGAGGTAGTTTTTTATACTTTACCCTATAATTTTATATTATTCACTTGAAATAGAGTCACAATTGCATGCCTGATAAGTGGCGTGGACATGACGCCGCTTGTTTTACTCTGTTACCTCAGTAGCACATAGAGTTTCAAATTTCAATGGTCTGCAAAAACTCGTTACTATTTCAACCAAATAAATTGTACTGACAGAAATTGTTTGCATGGTGATTGTCCAACCCACTTAATTTTTGGTTTCAGTTCTCCCCGACAAACACATGACATATTCCTAATTGTAGCTGCCAAGGCAACGAAATTAAGGAAAGATTAAAGCAGCCAAGTCCCCTTAAGTCACTATTAATTTTCTTTAATTTGTTTTAAGTGATTAGTAAAGTGGCGGAAGCGTGGTTTAGGGCTCAGTACTGTGGACTTGCTTATTTAAACCGACAAATAGAACTCAAAGTCGTACCAACCAACCACCGAATTCCAAACAGGGAAAATCTTTTTGAACCAGGCCAGGCCAAACCAGAATCATCAGACCAGGAGAGTGCATGCATCAAAAGTAATTAAAGTTGAGCCCGTGTTAATTAAACAAATTGAACTGAACCAGACCGGACAATTGACCTCTTTAGTATGTTGGATCCTTTCATAGGCAATCTGCTTTCATCATGTCGATTTCGGCTATTTCCATATAGCAATTTTAATTTGATAGGAAATGTAATTAAACAGTTATAAGTGTTTATGAGAGGAACATATGTTTGAGCTTTTAGAAGTAAAAGAAAGTCTTTTTCGCATGATTTGACCAAATAATTAATGACCATCAACCCAAATAGCGATTACTTATAACAAAATCTTCCATTAATTACTATGATATTATTGGGTCGTCTATTCTTTATTTTTTATTTTTTTATTTTTTTGCCGAATATTGAATTGTCTGCTCAACTATGTGTAATTGTCATTATACATAAAATTAGTTCTTGGTGTGTAACTAGAAAATCACACCACTTCATAAGTTATTTTATTGATCAGTGACGAAGTTTATACCTTCAGCTATAATTTTGTATGCGTACTCGTAGTGTAACATTAATAGACTGATTTCACTTAGTGATAGTGCGACAAACTCACTAAAAAACGTTACGCATGATCTAAATCAAGATAAAAACATGCTTAAAACAAATACACAACTATTTTATTATCCCAAACCTATAATGCATCGTCAAAACATGTAGTGTAATCGAAAGTTTATCGGAATTTCAGTATGCACACGTTTCACGTGGCTTTCTCTCCCAAGTAACAACACAGCATCCCATTTGATCACCAAATTTGCTAAATCTTGGATGGGTTTGGTTCCAAAATATCACAAGTCCAAGTCATCATGAGACAAGCAGAATCCCACTACAGAAAATATATTCTTTTGTCCGTTTGTCCCCACACTCTAATTTACACATGGTCTATATTCTACTATCTATATATGTGCAAGAAGCTTCTTGCTATATGCTTTCCCAATTCGATTTGAGTTTGATTATTATGTTTTTTTTCTTTTCTTTTTGTTAGAAACAGTAAGTTAATTTGCATTAAATTTACCTAAATTTTAAAGAGATATTTAAATTTAAATGCAGATTTAGAAACATATTGTTAATGCAATAATTTTTATAAAAAAAAATTAACTATTATTTTAATACTATTTAATTACAATAAAATAAGGAAAACTAACGAAAAGTCCAAAAAAACTTCTCTTTTAATGAAAATCCCTTTGTAAAGGTATAGTGAATAGTACTAGGGAAATGTATAAATATGGTTTTTCGTTAAAAGTGAACAGTAGCGAAAGTGTTTTGTTAAAACTCCCAATAAAATAGGGGTTAAGTCAGTTAATGTGTCTATTTCTATGTAGAAGTTTGAATTTCGCTTCTTGTAAAACAAAGTATATAATTTTTTTCTTTAAATTCTTTATGGAGACATTGAATTTGTGAGATGATATTATGATGGGGTTATTATCCACAACTTATTTTTATCTTTCACACTTGATCATCGAACAAAATAAATGAAAGAAAATTAATGAACAAAAAATAAATAAGTACATTTAAGAAGTTAAAATAAATGCGAATGTTACTACCCTGATATGGTAGCGCATCTACGTACACTTCACGGGCGTGAAAAAATTGGTCGAAGGAGATGAGATTACTTGCAGAAGAGGGGACCTCTTTCTGGGACAAATTCTGAATACATTCCTTTCACTAGGGAGTAGGGAGCCCCTCCCTACGTGCTTAGCTAGACTCATTGAAAACAATATATCACCATTTCCACTTGATTGAGTGGAGGACATGTCTGTTCCATATTCTTCACCCTTGAAGCAATATTTGACAAACAATTCAATTGACTTGACTCAATGGCTAGTCACATTCTTAAGATAGATTGTTGGACCATCCGACACATGGGCTTGAACCCGCAATGCAGTCTATGCCGATTTGGTTTGGATGCATGCGCGCGCTCTCTCTCTCTCTCTCTCTCTCTCTCTCTCTCACCTAAAGATATCCTAATCTAAGAAAAATAAGAATCTTATTGAAATTGTTCAATTCTTTTGATATTATGTCGAAGATTATTCCTGATGCTGAAAGAGCTAAATCTATATAACCGGTTTAGCCTTTTGATTATCTACATTTTCATTAATATGGTTGACGTTTTGCATGGATAACTCTTAAATATTGATGATCTAATACAAACGATTATAATTGTTAAATTACATTATAAACTACAATACTAGGATTAATGAGTGCGTATTTTCTTAAATAAGGACATCCTTACCCTCGAAAACATGTGGTTGGGTACATAATTTTGGTGCATTGCATGGGACTAGTAATTAATCTGCAGGTGAAGCATTAATCGACAATGAAGTGTTACTTTTGTTGGAATGTGGGTGGCACCACCGCCAACCGCCACCAGATGGTAATGTCTCAATAGCCTCGTGCGGGTGGCTCGGTCCAGGGTCTCGTGGGTTTGCCGGCAGCCACGTGAAGCCCCCGCCACGACTGTGGTCTCCCTTCAATGTTTTTGGTGCCATGAGAGAGAGTGAGACTGTGACTCGACTCCAGGACGAAATTTTTTGACGCTGGTTTGTTGGAATCTTGTTTGCCACATATGTACCCACAAAAAGGACCGTACATGAATCATTTTAATTTTAATTTATTCATAATATATATTAATCCCCCCCAAACATAACCAAAACAAAGCACATAGGGTACATATGTTTTGTCAATTTTATGTACCAATATTAATATTATTTTGCTGGTTTGGTTTTGCATGGCAAATGGCACACTCCTCATCACTCATAAATTACATTGTATTGACAAAAAATAGAGTGATTAGATTACCCTAAGTTTTAACAACCAAAGACACGTCTCCCTTGTGCAATTAATTTCAGGAAGAAGCTGTTCTGAATCCAACTGAATAGCGTGATCTTGTGGCTTTAACTAACTCATACTTAACCTATACTTGACGTTTCCTGTTTTACCAAAGTCAGAGTTATTATTTTATAATCTTAAGAAAAAAAACGCCATTGGTAATGCTACGTGATTATAATACTTGAAGCTATAGTCTAACAATACCATGCTATCAACTCTCTAGTTCACCATTCAAAAAATTATTATGCAATAGATAACTGAATTATAAATCAATTAAATGTTGGATTAATATTGTCAATGTTTCAGGTTAATTGAATAATATGGTTCGTTTATTTTATAAAAAGAGTTGCTAGATGACTAAACGATTTTGAAGTTTGCTAGTTTTTTTACGGGGCTAATAACTTTTTTCTTAGAGCTGAAAGAGTTTAAATCAGAAAGTTACTTCCGCATTAGTTTTGAGTCGTTTGACTTTAGGGTGTTACCTGAATGGGAAGTGCAAGTCCCCGATCTGCTTTTAAGTGGTTATGGGAACTGGCAAGAAAGACGTCCAGAGAGTTACTATTTTACAGTAATTTCAGCAACACATCATAATGTCATTCTCCAAAAACATCCAACTTCACTGGTGTCATGTGACTGAGAGTGTTTGAATTCCAGATATCTGCAACAAAGTATGATTATCTCTCGTCTTATTTTCATCCAACTTTCCTTTCCTTCTTTTATATATTTTTTTTCTTTTTTTTATGCCGTTTTATCTTTATAAAAAAATTAATATAAAACATTGATGCAATTTAGAAGAGAAGAAATGAGAGAGAGATTCGGAGGGAAGAATATTTTTTCCACTGTATTTGATGGCGTGTGTAAAAGATGTGGTCTTGATGCGCGTGAGGATTGGGGAAGAAAGATCTATCTCTGAATATAGTGTTGGGGGTTCAGAAAGCAATGAGGGGCAAGTGGGTCGGCTAAAAGTGGAGCATTGATACGGACAATCTTAGCCAATGTTCCCTGCACTGCCTTGTCCCATCCCCGCCCTTCACCGCCATCTTGTCCCCCCATCCCTGCCTAATTAGTCCCTCCACGATCCCACTCACTCTCTCCCTCACTCCGTATATATATTAAAGCAAGAAACCCAGACCCCTTAAACCCCAGACTTTCTCTTTCTGTAACTCATAATTTATTGGTAATCTTTTGTTTGTTCTTGTTGGATTGGATTACATGATATGGAGCTTCAACTTGGTCTCGCTCTTCCAAGCACTCCTCCTCCTCCTTCTCCACCAATCAAGGGCTTCGACTTGAACAGCTTTGTTTACGAAGCTAGGGTTTGTAGTAGTATTAATGACAACTACAAGAAACGCAGCTTTGCGCAAGCTTTTGCTGATGGCAAGAACGACAAGACTAGTACTACTAGTGCAACGGCCGTGCCTCGAACGCTGCCTTTGTTGCTTTGGAACAAGCAACCTAACAACGACGGTGACGAGGAGGACGACGACAACAACCCTCATAAACGCCAACACTGCAACTCCCGCTTTACAGTTGTCATCAAGTAATAATCTATATCTCTTTCTTCAATGTCAGTTTCTCTCTCTAATTCAAAGTTTTCATCTTTACAAAATGATATATATTTTAAATAATTTTAATGTAAAAATTAAAAATTCGAGCTTTAAGTGTGAGAGTCAGAGACAGTTGATCAAGTGTCTCTTGATCAACTGACTTAACGAACATTTATCTCTTTAATTAATCCACAGTTTTGATAACTTTTTTGTTCAAAAAAGGTTCATAACAATAAATTAATAATTTGGTCCATGTTATTTGGTTTGGTATAGAAATGATGGAGATGGATTGGTGGGGTGGCCGCCCATTAAGTCATGGAGAAAGGAGATTTGCTTCCACCACCACCACCACAACAACCGCGGCGGTGGTAATGGAACGGTGAGAAATATTAACGGCTGTGGTGGCGGTGGCAGATCAGGTTCATCATCAAACTCAAACCAGTACTACAACAATTCTACATTCGTTAAGGTGAAAATGGAGGGAGTGGGAATAGCAAGAAAGATTGACTTGAGCCTCCACCAATCTTTCCAAACACTCACAGACACCTTGATGGACATGTTTGACAAATGTAAGTACTTCAGAGCGCCACGCATGCATTGACGTGCCACTGTTTTCCGGTTTAAGTTTTAACAATTTCCACGTGTGGAATTCTTTGCGAAACAGGTCAGATGGATTCGAAAAACTATAAGCTCACTTATCAAGACAGAGAAGGAGACTGGCTATTAGCTCAAGATGTTCCTTGGAGGTTCGATTAATCAACTAATTGAACAATATTTATATAAGTATTATACATCCATGAGATTATTTAACGTATAGGGTTTTGTAACTTCCGTTCAATTAGCCTGTGATTAAGAAGCTGAACATGTTTTAATTTTGGTTATGCAGAAGTTTCATCCGGTCGGTGCAGCGTCTGAACTTGCTTAAGAGAAGTGATTAGTGGGAGTGACAGGAGATTGTCAATGGGTCATCGAGATTTGACTGAACAATTTGCTCTAGCTAGTTTTAATAGGCCCATGAGACTTGTTGCAGATGATTTTTTGAATGACTGCTTTGTATAATAATATGGAATTATAATATAGAACATCATAATCAGTTCAGTTGTATAACATATGAATCACCTAAAATTTCCCCCACAATAGTAAAATTAATGTTTTTTTATAGCTAAATGTCCATATAACTTACATATTTTTTTTCTTATACGAACAATGTTAGAGAAAGGGAATTGAACACGCACTTTAAACTTGAAAAAATACGTTCTAAATCATTCGAGTTACATGACTATGACTGTCATGATCCACTATCGAACTGTCTTCTAACAAAAAATATGATTAGTGCCATGTATACATTAATTTTTACCTCTTACATATGATTTGGATCCCATTCTGATTCAAATTATGGAGATCATAAGGATCTTCGCATCTTAATCATTCATCGTGCATCGTGTGGTCATAAATTATTTGACTTTTTTTATTTAAAATTAAACACATAATATCTGACGAAAACTTGACACACGATGTACGATAAATGGTTAGGATATAGGAATCCTTAGGGCATATTCAAAAAGTATGAATTAGGTGTGGGGCCAACTTTAGTAATTCGAACCGTCTATTTTGTAAGTCTCGATTTATAGATTATCCTTACAAAAATTCAATTCAATTCGAAATCATTTGCTTATTTAATTATCAAGATAAAATTTCATTGTTTCTTATATAACAAAGTATTCGTAAATTTCTTTGAACTCAATCAGATGTCTTAAATATTTCCGATTTGGCTAATATTTTGCAAGGATGTTCTATAAGGTGCAAATTGAATATAGACGGTTTGGATTGTTAAAGTTTGATGTGGTGTGAACCCTACAACAAATCCCCATTTTTATAAAAAATTGAGATCCATCCTCTTAAAGGTTTCCTCTATATATAGAGATAGGATCAAGGAACAAATATTTTTACATTTCTTCTGAGCCTTTAGATTTTATAACATCCAATATTCCTAATTAAGAGTGATATGGAAACTTTTAATCATTAAATAATATAGTTGATGAAGTGGATTAGGAACTAATATAGTAAATAAACAAATAAAGATTAAAACTTAAAATGAATAAAAACTAGGAATTTCGCTAAAAAAGTAAAAACCGTAGAAGCATATTTGACTCTTATGAACTCGCATCCAAAGTCTTGAGTGGGCTTGTGAACTCGCATCCCTCACCCCTATATGTGCATATATGTATATATCTAGTGGGCTTGAGTGTGCCAAGCTCTTGTTGGGCTTAATTGTGAAGCTTTCCCCGTTCGACCACCAATAAATGTTGGGCTCAAGTCTTCACCCGATGTGATTTTGGCAACGCCCTTTTTTCTTATGCACTCTTTGTTTGTTTTTTTTTTTTTTTTTTTTTTTCTCTTATAGTTGGTTTGCATAAATTAAAAGACAACACTCAAGAAACGGAGGAATGCACAAAGAGAAAACGGATCGTGAAAATTGTTACGGATCATTATTCAACGCGACAGCACCTTCAATATTCGTTTAATACTAGTTGAAATTTACCTATCAATTAGTTCTTGGTGTGAAGTTTTTTGTTTCAATATTCGAAAAAAATTGTTATTAGCACTTCAAATGGTCATTTTGCATTCTTGATTCTTCAATAAGAAAGAGCGTGTTGATAAACTTTTATTTACCAGGTCAATCCACCATTTGCGGACAAATATAAAATTTTAAAATACATTATATTAGGGTGCCGTCTTTGCGAGTGAAAAGAAGTCTCTTTTGCGTGTTGGAAAGATCAAGAGAGCGAGTCAATGAAAAGATCTATGGGTCGTTCAAAACAAGGGCAGATGTGTCATTTCAAGGCAAGACATCCAACTTGCGTGGGCTCCGGTAGGATATCCCCCAATAAATAGAAAACCATTATCTCCGGATCTCTTCCTCCTAATTCCTTAAATCAGAGAATTTGTGTTGTTGAAAATTAATCTAACGGTTACAGATAGAAACACACTTTAAAAGTTATAATAACTTCAATGGTTAAATCAAATTTAAACTGTACGGATTCTCCAATAAATGGCCACGTTCGGCCGATTATTCCAAAGCTTCTTGAATCTGCCACCATTGTGAGTGCCAGCATTCACCTACTCACCGTCTCACCTACGCTCAAACCATCTTTGCTCAAAACGCACAAATGAAAAATTGCCACGTTTTCACAACTTATACGTGTAAGTCGATAACTCAAAGTGTACGAGGTTGCATCTGTAGACGATCCCGCCCCCGGTGATCAGCTTCTGCGCTCCTCCGATCTTCCCTCCAGGCTTGTCCCCACCCCCCCCCCCTCTCTCTCTCTCTCTCTCTCTCTATAGGATTCTCCGCCTTCTCTTTATCTCTTACGGCGGTAATGAGCGCGCGGCGGCCAACTATTGTTCCTCACCCAGTCAGCCTCTGCAACTCCAACAAGGTCAGACGTTTTTTTCTTCTTAAATTAAATATTTTTTTTCTTCCGTAATAAAGGTGGATTCTTTTGAATTTTAGTTTTGAGTTGAGAGTTTTATTGAACTTTTTTTCGTTATTCGGGCAATATTCTAGTCTAATTTAATTTTACTGAGAATGAGAATTCGAACTTTGGGACCTAAAGTAGCACACATATTTAGTCAACCTGACTACTGCCCAAGTCTGCAAATTTTTGTTTGACTTGTAAATTAACTAAATTTCACATACTCAATCCAAGAACGTAATTAGTAGAAAATTATCTATCTTTGCTTTTGGTGATGTTGTGCTATCTCTATGAATAATGGTGGGAAGAGACAATGAACTGAGTGTTTGAGGCAAGCAAAGTATGTTTGCTGCTTGCATAGATTTTTCTAGGCTTCAAATAGTGTGCAGGGTTTAGGGTGTTAACTTAAAACTCCTTGGATGAGTTAGGATGTTGAGATCCGCGGCTATAATTCCAGCAGAAAGGCCCCTTTGATTGACTCCGCCATCACCGTAATTAGTTGAATAAAGTTCGTTCGGTTTTTGGTCTCCTAAATCGAAGACCCAGAAGCGAAACAAGATGAAGGAATTGATTGGAATCTAAGTCAGATGTGCAGAATAAGATTACCACTTGATGCTGTTATTTCGGTTTCTTGCCAGGCAGGGAATGCTCAACCTACACCTTGCTAATTCCCCCTGTCTTTTGCTATAAACATTCCGAAGGAAAATTTCAAAACCCTTCCTAATCTCGACTTTTGGATCTTTCAAAAGCTGGTGCATTGTCCCTAACATCAACGTCGTTTCTGAAACAAGTGAATTCTACTTGGATCCATGATTGTTGTAGGGATCTTCTAGTTTCTCTATGCCTTTTTTTTTCACTTCCTATATAACAACCTTTCAAAACTATTGATTATATTTTAGCATCTAATCTACATATTAATTTCATGCAGGTGATCCAAGATTGTTTGAGCAATGATCATGTTGGTAGTTAAGTTGGGAAAGACATGTTAAGTATTGCCCCTCTTGACCCCTCCTGATAATTATTCTTCGAGGCATGGCAATGCGATCTCCCCACTCTCCTTCCAGAAGAAGACCACCTAAGTTCTTTTGCTTGATACTGTTGATAGTTGCGCCTACATGTATTTTTGGACTCTTGACAAATTACCAGAAAATTTCGTATTTCTTCCGACCACTTTGGGACAAGCCGCCGGCCCCTTTCATACGACTCCCACACTACTACGCTGAAAATGTCACCGTGGACCATCTTTGCCACCTTCATGGCTGGTCCAGACGGGATGAACCCCGACGTGTTTTCGATGGCATCATCTTCAGCAATGAGTTGGACATGCTTGATATTAGGTGGAATGAGCTTTATCCATATGTCACAAAATTGGTAATCTTTGAGGCAAATACCACTTTTACTGGCATCCCGAAACCTCTCTACTTTGCTTCAAATCGTGGCAGATTTGCCTTTGCCGAGGATAAAATCATCCACGATGTCTTTCCTGGTGTAATTATCCCCCGAGGATCACATGCAGACCCCTTTGATCTTGAGAAAAAGCAACGTGTAGCTATGAATGCTTTACTTCGGCGTGCTGGGATTTCCAATGGCGATATATTGATAATGTCAGATACTGATGAGATACCAAGCCCACATACTGTGAAATTGCTGCAGTGGTGTGACGGGATTCCACCTAAAATGCATCTTGAGCTGAAGCACTACATGTACTCGTTTGAGTTCCCGGTGGACTATAGCAGCTGGCGGGCGACAGCCCACATCTATGGCCCTCGTACCTTCTATCAGCATTCACGACAGACAAACTACTTATTTTCTGATGCAGGATGGCATTGCAGTTTTTGCTTCCGGCGGATTGAAGATTTTGTGTTTAAGATGACAGCTTACAGCCACGCAGACCGTGTGAAGCGCAGAGAATTTCTTGACCATTCAAGGATTCAGAAACTCATTTGTAGAGGAGATGATCTTTTCGACATGTTACCTGAAGAGTACTCGTTCAAGGAGTTGATCAAGAAGATGGGAGCGATACCCCGTTCGACTTCTGCAGTTCATCTTCCTTCTTACTTGTTAAAGAATGTAGACAAGTTTAGGTTCCTTCTCCCTGGAGGCTGTTTAAGGTCACAGGATTGAAAGGTTTCGTAGGTAATACTAACTTTAAGCAATTTATTATTCTGATTTTAGCTTTCTATGTGGCCCGGTAACTTGCTAGTAAAGGATACACCATTGCAAAGCAATTATTCTGATTTAGCTTTTATAAGATTTGATTTTGTTTCTAATATTCATGTTTGGGCTGCGGAGGGTCGTTATTTTGTTTCTAACAGTCATGATTAAATTGATGAAATACTATTTTTACTTGCTCGCCATTCTAATGGATATAAAGCCGGACTATGTAATTGTGCCAACTATCGAAAAGTTTCCCATGAAACAAGTGTAAAGGAAACCCAACTTAGCAAAGGTTATGGTGAAAGCGAAACTATCACAGAATCCGTCAAGATGCATGGATGGCTAGATAGAAAAGCAAATTTCAATATCATGGTGTCTGTCTGGTACTCGAACATTGGCTCGAGTTATTTTCTCTTCTCATTCTAACATCATGCGCTTTTCGTACTTTGATTGATAACCTTTACATTCCTCAATCTGAAAGTAGAGTATGGAGCATAAAAACATGTTGGATACACACCATGTATATGCATCATCGCGTAATTGGTCATGAGATAAAATACAGTCACATCATGATAATTGGTTGTGTGGTAAAACAAACAGTTGCGTGATGAGAAAGATGAAAAAAAAAATTGATAATTGAACATCATCTTTCGGAAAGAGGTGGCAATTTCCAATGTGGTTTGTTTGTCAAATATTTGGACTAGCTGATATGAATCTACAATCCAAACTTTGTAGTTTGCTTTTGTTTCCGAGGTCAAACAGGTCATCCCGAAACTCAAGCTTTGAAGTCTAAGAGTGCGTTTTGGGGCCACCATTTGTTTTTAATTGTTAATTAAGGTGGGCTAAATTAGTTTTGACTATTGTTCAACCCTAAATTATCTACTCGCAATCAATTTTTAATGCAATTGGAACTTTGGGAGGACTCATATTTTCCATGACGTCATAACAAGTAGTTGATCTAACAATTTTCGGTCTTTATAATATGAGAATTTTAACGAAAAGTCTACGGTACTGTTTACTTTAATAAAAAATCATATTTTTACACTAAAAAGTCAAACCTGGTATTATTCACTTTACTTTGTCCTTATCGTTAAAACTCAAAGTTTTCAAACCTTTTTTTATTAGTTTTCCTTTATAATTATAATATCTCATGTTAATGTGTAAATCATGTATATTTATAGTCAGTCAGATTTTAAATTGTAAATTTATTATGAGTGGATTAACCATTCGACGTAAAAGTAGGTTTGTAAATATCCTGTCATTTTGACTCAATTTCCTAGAGGCTTCAGAACATTATCAAAGATATTAATTGGCGTTTATTACTCAATTTCTTGGAAGCATGTCATTAGGGCACTCTTCTAAAAATCCTCGTTTAGCGTTACTTAAATTTTAGACAGCTGGCCACCGTCCTGATTAATCTTTAAATGTTTGAAAATTAAGAAATAGTGCCTAGCCCTGTTTAGGCACTCGCATATGTCGCGATTTTCGCTTAGATAAAAAATAGATAACTTTCATTTTGCATTTTATATATTCAATAAATTGTAAGCGATTTGTTAAATACTTTGATGAACACTTGTTCCCCGTGTTTTTAATAGGTCTAATACTTTAAAATCTATATGTCATTCTATTTATTTATCCCAAAAAATTTATGTATTTTTTTAAGTATAAATAGATATTTATTTGTTATATAATAAATCTAATTAAAATTAAAAAAAAAACCCGCTTAGGCCTCGCCTAGTTGCCTATATGCCCCTGCCCTTCGCCCGACTAGCACCTAACACTTTTTGAAACTTTTACTCTAGGGAGATAAACTTTGTTGCGGATGCTAGTACTTAGTATGGGTTTTAAGGTAGATAATTTTTATGTCTGGGATAGAACCTTGCCGTATGTGGCAAGAAGAGCACTCTTGTTTGATTGTATTGTTACTAATTATGACCATAGGCACTCTATTTAATCATATTTCATTTCTTGATGAAAAAAAGTATCTTGCCGTTTGTAACGAAAAATTGGTATTTTTGAATTTTATAATTGGTGGTCTTAGTCTATGGTTGAATTAATTTAAAATCGATGGGTCATGATCCAGCATGTTAAAGCAACCGCGAAGGACACATTTCGGTCACGAACAAATGCTCTAACCACGTTTTCTTATCTATCCTTTTTCGGATAACAACAGTCGATAGAAACAATCACACATCCAAATGTGAGAATTTGTTTTGGCCATAGAAAAATGCGAGAACTTAAAGAGAAATAAAAATAAGAAATTGAACATGTTTTGCTTGATCGCCGTCAAGTGATGGTGATGCTCACCACTCTACTTATTAATGTTAGATGAATTTAAATTTCGAGATTTGTATATAATGGTATATATTCGAATAAGTTATAAGGACTGTCGACATATCACCAATGTATTGATTTTATTAGTAAAAAAAACAAATCATAATGACTTTATTGATAATCATCGTCAGTATGAATATAATATTAGTTTCACGATTGTAATTTATTTAAAAAAAAGTCATATACAGAGAATTTTTAATAAAAAAACATGTCTTGCACAGAAAATTTTCGAGTACAAAACATGATGTTGAATTAATCGAACACTTTATTTGGAGGTCTCACGACTCTCACCCACCATTTGGCGACCAAGCAAACAAAACTTGTAAAAGCACAAAAGCAAACGTCATTGTCGATTGCTTGAACAAAAAAGAAAGAAATTAAAATAAAGAAGTGAGCAAAACAATCACTGTGGCCTGTATGTGGACTGCAGGTACCACCAATGCACTGAAACATCCACGAAAATTCCATCAAAAGTGTCATTTTCCAGGAAAATGCGATTCAGCCTTTGCTACTTTTTTTTCTTTCTTCTTTTGTACCAATTTTACCTACACCATTTGCTTTACAATTTGCTCATTTATGGAAGATAGATATGGATCAAACTTTAATGCTACGTGTAGTAAGAGCTTTATACAAAATTTAATCATTGTAAAGATTTATTAGATATTCATACACTAAAGGAGTAGGTGAAACACCTAGGACGACTTGAAAATAGGCATTAAGAAACATAGAGTATTCAAATCTAACTGGAAGAATTGATGCATAACCGAGTGGTGTTGCGTTCAAAGATTCATACAGCCAACCTTGCTTAGTAGCGTAAAGTTTTTGTTGTTGTTATTGTTGACGACGACATATTACTTATAATCGAAGAAGTCATGAATCGATGCAAGAATAAACAATCATGAAAATGAATGAGTATTCGATTGGTTATCTCATACCTTTTTTTTTTAAGTCATGACATACCCAAAATCAATATAAAGGACTCACTCACTTATGCATTCCTCAGTTAGCACAAATTCAATCATCAGTAAACATGCATTGAATAGATTAATATTAAATTATGAGAGTATGTACGAAACATGATCATGGCTTTATCCGATCTGCAAGAAAATCTGTCACCTCACCACTTGTGTACACTCAAGAGTTTATCTATCTCTCATTTACACCAACAATAATATAATGTAGTAATATTCCTCTTAACTTCTACACATAAAGTTTTAGGATTAACTCAAATTTGTAATATCCCACATCGATCAATGAATAGGGAGTGCTGTACTTTATATGTACATACCCACCTCTATTTAGCACGAGATCTTTTGAAAATTCACTGACTTCAAGTTTCATCAGAACTATGAAACTAAGCGAGTTTAAACGAGAGCATTCCCAAATTAAGTGTGCTACGACGGAGCTGGGATGTAACAAATTACCCACTCGTTAGTGTGAAATATTGTTGTGATTAAAAAAACTCATTGCGTTTATATTGTTTGACGAACTATAAATCCAGAATTTACTTGGAAATCACTCCTCTTTTTCTTTTAAAATGGCATGATATTATTGGTTGTTGCAAAGCGTCCCCGTTTGAAATGTCTTTCGACGGGACGAATTGACATGTGGTTGGTTGTTAGGCCACGTGAAAATGATTTGACATAGCCTCTCACCACATATAGCGTTTTTTTGTATATATCGTATCGTTTTTTATGGACGATAAATTGAGAGTATTAAAGTACTTATCTTATTTAGCACTTAACACTTTATTCTATTTATTATTTAGCTACCATTTCATTCCAGCGGAGCACGCATTCATGTGCTTTTTTTTTTTTTTTTTTTGTGAGCACGTGCCTTTATCTTCTCTCTCCTTTTCCTTTTATATTTGAACCGTGCAATTAACACACTCATTTTCTACCACAACATGTATTTGTTAATTTTAGCCACTGATCTTTTTAATTTATTTGATTTGAAAATCGAAATTAAGAGGAGTGTAAGAGAAATAAAATGAGTGTGTAGATACCACTATCATTATTTTTTATGAACATAACGGTATAGGAACAGTTTATATGAAATGAGTTTACCGTCACATAGTATTCTGATTAATAATATAATGTTATGTAAAAATAAAAGAAATTTTTACATAATATTGGATCAAATATCACAATAACGATGAACCCGTTTTATTTAATGCTTGGCAAAAGACGAGTAGCGTCATTCTAGATTTCGACAAGCAACATTTAGGGGGTATAGTCAAATTTGGATTTGATGGTATTTTAATAAACTTTAAAATTAGAGTGTAGTCAATTAGGAGTTTGATGGTGGATTTTAAAAGATTTTAAAATTAGGGTGTAGTTGACACACCCCGACCGAGATCAGGGCATGCTGGCCGTCACGTGGAAGTGACGTAGCCATGTGCACAGTGCGGAAGCTAAAACAGTAATATAAAAGTGCGAATAATTTAAAAACTAGCAAATATAGAGTGATAGAATATGTGCTAGAGTAATTAAGACACTGAATTCAGAGCCTAAGGCCTACAGCAGTCCAAAAGAAACAATACAACAAAAGTACACCCGAAGGTGACCCTACGTAGGTGAGTATCTGTCAGAATGCCGGGACGTCCTCCGGGAAAACCACTAAACCCGCTAAGCTACTAGAACCTGGAGGGGCGCAAAAACAAAAGCGTGAGTGGGCAAAACAAATCTCTTAGAAAACCATTTCATAAAACATATTATAACCTCTCGCCGTAAAACCTGTATACTTCCCAGAAAATAAACATATATACGTAGGTATGGAT